GATTGATAAATCGACACTGCCGAAGCAACAGACAGTTTAGTGCCTGCAGAGATGCCTCGTGGACTGTTCCAAAACACCAGGGAGAGACAGAGTGTGAAAGACCAAGCACGCTCCCCGATCCCTGCAGGTTTACATAATGTAATGCTCACTGACCACATGACCATTAAGGATTGCTGGGTATTACATCAGAATGGACAAACTGATTCAAAGATAGACTGACACCTGAGCTGTGTGCTCGCACAGACTTGTGAATCCAATGTATCCTCTCAGAGATGTTGTCAAACCCCGCAGCCAACAGCTTAGCTAACTTTCACCCACACTGTATAATCTCAGTCATTCTTTCTTTCTTTCATGATCATTATCTGGAAACATCCTCTCTCTGGATCATCTGACCCAAAAGCAGTGATGGCTTGCCATATAATCCCCTGTGTTGTTTGTGTTTATTTATACTCTTCCCTTTACAAGCAAAGGCATAGATTTTCCCTGCTAGGGAGTGACAGATGTAGGGAGAGATAAGAGCAAGAGTCACACATACAGATGGGCTGTGGGAGTTTACAGTGCACAGTCAGATATGAGTCAGAGAGAAAGTAAATTGTTCTTTAGAACGGATTTTTAATCTGACATGCATGTCTTATGTTTTCTAAGAAGCTGCATGGAGTTATATTTATGCTGTTCAAAAACTGCCTTTATGGACTCTTCTGATGCCACAGAATACAAAGTAAGGTAACAGCCTTAAAAACTGCTCATTTTAGCTAAGAAGAACCTTGTTCTTTAAAAATAAATCAGTCATCATTTCCATAAAAGACATCTGGACATTAGTAAATAAATGTAATCTAATGAATGAAACATAGAAACACATGGCCTGTGATATTATTGACCAGACAAGAGCAGACTGTCTGTGAGCTAGCCCTTGTTAAAATTTCAACTAGCTTAGCTAACCAAGACTGTCGTGATTAATGCAACACTTCATTTAAGTGCAACAATTTTAATTTCATTCTTGCCATTATACCTTCATAACTGTGCCTTCAAAATACACAATGAGAAGCCCTGTGTTCTGGCTCCAGCCTGACTCTTAGCTACGGAGAATGAGATCACCCTGTAGTCCAAGCACTGTGGCAAAACAGAGGTGGAGGGAATATTACAAGAACCACTACTGTAGTAAACGGTGTATACAGGAGTCAGACAATATTCAGAATTCAAAATGTTCTGATCCTCAGGCATTACAATCTCACTACTCCAGACAATCAATACCATAATAATACACCACACCAAGACATAACAACACCCACTCATGTCAACATGTCGCTGGTACTTGGAAAGGGTTCATGTGACACATGTGGCAGGACTCAGAGGCCAAGAGAGACAAGGTGTACATTAACAGAACAATTTCTCTTCTACAGGTTTAGAGCAGCCTTTCACAAACTTTGGCTGTGACCCAAAAATGGGTCGCAGACATGTTTATATTGGGTCACTAGTTGGCAGAGTAAAATGCATAACAATACTGTGATATGTGAATTAATTTTCCAAATGATGATGCGTGCTCTTTTTTCTGCACAGGTGGTGGGTCTGTTCAGTTCAGATGCTGTGTGCGAGGCTCTCTCGCTCTCTCTCTCTCCCCCTCTCTTCTCAACCTGATCTCAGGATCTGTCTACCTGACAATTTGTTCTAAGTAATTATTGCAGAGCTGTTCGACCCACCATTGTTTAATCACTCCTAATTAAGTGGCTACTGAGTGAAGTCAGTGCAGACACGATTAAAGCATTCAGAATATTAAAGCTAATGCTAAATGTCTGCAAAAAAAGTGCAAAACTTTCAGTGTAAATGTATGTAAATATACATGAAAATCTGTCTTCTCCTTTTATAAGATAATGAGACTGGGCAGCAAATTTCTTTCTCAGCATATTTCTTATAGAGCACTCATCAGTTTTTTTTTTTTTTTTGCTATAATAACTGATCAGCAGCCCAGCAGCAGAGAAGATGATGTCTGTTAAATCAAATCAAATCAAATCAAACTTATTTATATAGCACTTTAAAAACAACATCTAGTTGACTAAAGTACTTTACATGGCAGAATAAAATCACGATAATTAACTAAAATAAAATAGATTCAGTGCAAAAAAAAGAACAACTCAGACACACAGCTGACACACATTCGATACATTAGATGACCTAACATTAAAAAGGAGACTATTCCACAATTTAGGGGCTGCAACAGTAAAAGCACAATCACCCCAGCGTTTATATCTGGTCCTTTGTGCCAATGCACTAATTCAGTGAGGTAAAATGGAGCCAAACTGTTAAGAGCCTTAAGAACAAAAATCAATAACAAGTCAATTCTAAAACAGACTGGAAACCACTGGAGAGAAGCCAGTACCGGGGTTATATAGTCGAATTTTCTAGTACTTGTCAAAAGACGAGCAGCAGCATTTTGCACCATTTGGAGACAAGTGAGTAAGACCTGTTAACACCATAGTATAGAGCATTGCAATAATGAAGTCTAGAAGTGATAAAAGCATGGATGGCAATCTCAAAATCAGTAAAAGAAAGGAATGACTTGACCTTGCTTAACAGCCTGAGGTGGAAGAAGCTAGATTTCACAACTGAGTTGATTTGCCTGTCAAACCTCAAGTCGCCATCAAACATCACCCCTAGATTTTTTACAGCCGACTTCAGGTGTCGAGCTAAGGGGCCCAAGCCCTGGTTAGAAGCAGTTATGTCTGACAGGTCACCAAATAGCACACACTCTGTTTTATTTTCATTGAGATTTAAAAAGTTAAGCGCCAACCATGATTTCAAGTCTGTCAAACTGTCAAACAATGGCTGTAATGACATCCCTTGTTGCCTTCAATGGTAAATATATCTGAATGTCGTCTGCATAACAGTGAAAGGCCATATTTCCTTAACACAGATCCTAATGGAAGCATGTACAGTGAGAACAAAATGGGACCAAGCACAGATCCCTGGGGGACACCGCAGGAAAGGATTGTTGAAGAGGATGAACAGGTACCAATATTAACAGTAAAACTTCTAATGGTGAGATAAGATCAAAACCAGTTAAGAACAGTACCTTGAATTCCTACACACTGCTCCAAACGAAATAGGAGGATTTCATAATCCACTGTATCAAAGGCAGCAGTGAGATCTAAAAGCACCAATAAAACCAAATCCCTGGCGTCTCTAGCCAACAGGATATCATTACTGATTTTTAATAATGCAGACTCAGTACTATGTTTTGATTTAAAACCAGATTGAAATTTCTCCTCAATGCCATTATCTGTCAAAAAAGACTGGAGTTGGATAAAAACAATCTTCTCCAGAACTTTAGACATAAAAGATCATTTAGAGACTGGTCTAAAATTAGAGAACACTAAAGGGTCAATTTGGCTTTTTGAAAAGAAACTGGACAATCCCTTTTTTAAAAGCATCTGGAACTGAGCCTGTCCTTAAACATAAATTAATAAGAGCCATAAAGCTAGGCCCAACAGATCCAAAAACATCCTTAAACAATCTAGTCGGCAAGCAATCCAAAGAACAGTGAGATGCTTTCATGTTGTGAACTAGTTCAAATAGCATAGGCAAAGATAAAGCCTCAAACTGATCAAAGACAGCAGAATGCAAAGGAATATCAGATGGGTCAGGATTAGCTGAACTGGAGGACTGCCTAATGCTAGTGATTTTATCAGTAAAATATTGAAGAAAACCCTCACAAACTGCTACTGATGCCTCGGGATGAGAAGCAAGGTTACACAGGTTAAATACTGCCTGTACCATGTAAACATTGTACAAAAAAAGAGGGAGAATGGAGGAGGAGGGGGAAGGAACCAGTGCAAATTCTACATTCTACTGAATGTGTGACTGAAGTAAATTAGAGCTCTGTGAATCAGTGCATATGACTAGGTTGGACTACTCTTCAAAAGTTATTTATTGTTGCTTCACAAGTAATAAAATGAATGGCAAGTATGTTGCATAATACACCACACCTGTAGCTGTCTATTTTAAGGTTAGACTATTCATTCGGAATGTAATGACTATAATTTGATGACAGTCCAAATTATATTTGCTTCAAACAAGTTCATTATACGGTGGTGAGCAATTTAACATTACTCTCAGCAACTTCATTATTGCTATGATATACTTTTATAATGAAATAAATACATATCATATACACTGAATTTTAAATTTGAAGATTGTTGTGTTCAAGGTTTGATGTATTTTTGTAAGTTTGGCTCCTCGAGAGAGACCAAATTTCTCTTTTGGTTCTCAAGCTGAAAAAGTATGGGAACTCCTCATCTAGAGCTATAGCCAAGCTAGCTGGCAACCAATCCAACAAACACAATGAACTTCAGTTATTGATGGGAAAACATTTCTCCAATGTTATCCTTTTTAATTCTGATTCATTTTATGTTTAAGTTTGCACACATACTAAAAAAACCTAACTTTAGCATTAGCAGTAGCAGATTAAGAAAGAGCATAGCTAAAGCTAACCAGTAAGTGGCTATTAGGACAATATGATCAAGGGCTAAAATACAGACTATAGAATAACATGGCAGTAAAGTCTATAATATCACAAACAAGTGTCTAAAGGCAGGCCTTTCCTTGAACAGATGTTTTTATTTATTTTTGAGACTGCCCAATTCCCAAAATGTAGATGCAAATTTATATTTTTATGCTAATTCAGACATATCTACCTTAATACATTTAAGATGTTACTCTACAGAATTTATCTACGCCTATAAAGAAGATGTTTATTGGATTTTCTTTTCGTTTCCTGGCTGTTTATTTAGCAATTTTATCTCCCAAGTCTCAGTTTATCTCCATGTTAACATGTGATGTCACTACACGTGGCTATTAGTAGCCAGTGTCTGCTTCTCCTGGGTAACAGTGATTCTGTGACGTTAACAGTGTTGCTTTTGGAAACGGAACCATGATGAAGTGTGTGCTTGAGCTGATGTGCGTCTGTAAAGGGAAAGTGGAGCAGTGAATCTAATATAGCTGCTCACCAGATCCCTGTGGAGCACCCAGTTGGCATGGAGGTAATGGATCCCATCCAGAATCTGATACAGGAGAGACTTCACCATCCCTCTGGGCAGCTGCATGGGCTTCTTGTTGGCCTTGGAGGCACGGTGGAACTTGATGATGTGCTACGAGGCAGAGAAAGGTGTAGACATATCTTCTTAGCTCACACGATGTAGCCACAACTTTGACAAGAAAAGCTTATTCACAGCTTGGTAAATTACATAAACTACAATGCTGTGATTTATTTGTTGCAGTATGTGATTTTGTGTCATTCCCTGCTGGTGGTATAAAAAAGCTTTCCTGAGTTTGAACTACCAGTCTAGGAAACCAACACCAGGAGGCAGAGGAATGTGTTAATTTGCCAGGCACTTTGCCAGTTGGCCGGTTTTACCTGGCTGGCTACTACACAAATTGTTCTGTAAATTAGTATTGACAAATTATTGGCAGAATTTTTTGGCAGATGCTGTCCAGACCTGTCTAGTGGCAAATACACAACCCATGGGCAAAATCTGGTCCTCTAATAATAATATATGAACTCTGTATGAAAGCTTTTACATGTTTCTTCATACATCTACTGCAGATAACACTGTAAGAACAAGACCCATGTAAATGAACAAATATGACCTAACATCTAATTCTGAAGAGGCATACAGTACACATAGAGGTACTGTTTTTAAATAGTGCATGGTGCTGTCATAAAGTCTAATCATCAATAACAAAGGTAATAAGTTGCCCTATTTGACAACAATGGATTTGTTTGTTGGCTTTCTGACACTTTCATTTGTAAGTTAGGAAAGTCACCTGGACTGTTGCAGGCAACAATGGCTCAAACAGACTTACCCAAAGATCATGTTCAGCATAGTCAAAGAGGAGCCAAACTTTTCTGTCACTGTGGGACAAGAACACTTTCTGCAGGGCGATCACATTAGGGTGTTTCAGCTCTCGTAGCAGCTGGAAGACATGGTTAAGGCAAAAACAAAGGTCAAAATTTTTACAAAATGTATGAATTAATTTGATGAAACATAAATAACAAGCATGGACAATTATCTTTGAATTGTTTTTGATATTCTCCTACCATGACTGAATGTGCTTACGCTGAGGTGGGAAGAGAGGCACAGTTGAGACTGTGTGTATGCTAATTGGGCAGCGCAGTGCATTTTGGTGCTCGTTTTGACCCGAAAGAGCAATAACACCTGCTCAAACCACCTCTTATCAAAATCATAATCATAATCAGCTTTATTGGCCAGGTGTGTTGGACACATGAGGAATTTGACTCTGGTACATCGGGTCTTAATGTGTGTATACATATCTCCATGCAAGGGGCAAGTAAGCAGTAAACCAGCGTAAGGCTGTGTAATATAACAAAGCAGTATTAACAAGCAACAAACAGTGCAAACAATGCAAAATAAGCAGTATAGACAGGCAGTAAACAATTCAGACAGACAAAGAAATGCTCATTGTGAAATGGGATAAGTAGAAATAAAATTAGAGTACTTAAAACTAGAGACGTGTACGGATCTGTATAATCTGTATGAAGTATATTTACAGGTATTGCACTGAGGGTTATTGACCAGTCATACTGTTGTGGGTCAAGTGTTCATCAAAGCAATGGCCCAGGGGAAGAAACTGTCCTTGTGCCTGGTTGTCTTGGTGCACAGTTACCTGTGCCTGAGGACACTTTGATAGGTGGACTGGAAAGGTCTTAGATCAAACCACCAACCCTACGGTTCGGGGATGACCCACTCTACCTCCTGAGCCACAGCTGCTCCTTTAAAATATTCTTTATTACTAATTTGGGCCTTTTATTTGCAGTATAGTGCGGTTTCAGTTTAAGTGCACTGTCTCTTGTGACACCCAGGCCATAATTTGAAGAGCAAGGCCATTTGACCTTCAATTTCATACATCTTCAGAAAACACAAAGTTGTTAGCTGTAATCAGACCTGCTGAAACTACAGGAACACCTGGATTAGTTGTCCAAGGTCCCATTTGGGGGTAGGGGGGTGGACTTTATATGGTATATGTGACCTTCTTATTAATATCTGCCTACATTTCTTTGGTTTTAACAATTTTACTTTCCTAAAACAAAAAAAGAGAAAATGACAACAAATGTTCAAGGAACTTTATGGCCAGTTATTTAAAAATATATGGCTATGGAGAACATCTTGTCCCTGGCATGGGCAAGACACACAATGGGCCTGGCTGTAATAATGCCAAGTCAGCAAGAACAATGAGTGACTCTGTTTAAACAACTAGAGTCTTGGAATGAAAACGGACTAAGAGTGTGATCCATCACAAAATGTTAAAAAACAATAAAAAAGAGGTTTTCTGGTAACCTCATAAAACTTCAGTGCAACATCAAAGATGGTGACAGCTGTAGTCTCATGATGTTTAGAACAGTAACTAAACACAAAAGCACATAATTTGGATTGTAGTTGATGTGGGGATGATACATTTTTATCCCAATAACCAATAAATCACCAAGTTACCATCTCAAGTTAGCAAGAGAGCAGAGAAGTCAAAATAATGAACAATTTTCTAAAAGGAACTAACAGATACTTAGAACAACCAAGCTTCTGTCACTTCAGGTGTAGATAGATAGATACTTTATTGTTATCACTGAATTTTGATACATGAATACCACACACCAGAGTAAAACATCACTATGACCACTCTCTGTGAAATGGTGGTTAAATGAGAAAGTGAGTCAAGAATACAAGCGTAGCAGAAATCAAGGAACAGGCTGTTTGTCCTTCTGAGTGAAATAGGTCATGTTTTTGTAAAGAACTCAAAGAGAAAGCGCTCACTGGACAGGCTCCAAGAGTGTGGGGGTATTTCACAGCTAAGATGAAATCTGGCCACAGCTGCTGGCGGAACTCTAAAAAGGCTACTCAAGACCCAAATGTGGATACTGGTACTAAAGTAAACTTCACCAAACCTAAAAAGGAAAAAAGACCAAGGGTCTGCAACAGGGCGCAACGCTAAACTCCTGTCTGAACTCCAGGCACAGGGTGGTTATTCGTGTGTTCAATAGTGTTTTACAATTTTGGTGATCACAAATGCAGTGCACTTTTGTGTGCAGCCAGGCATTACAGGGCACATTGTGGAGGACAGGCAGAATACAATATTAGAGGGAGGAATACATCATGAACAGGTGGAGATAACAGCGACTGATGATGTCACTCATGTGACGCCTGAGGGAAACGTACTGGTAAATAAATAAAAGATATAAAAACATATAAAAATTGAGATTAAAAAAGGACTGGAGTGTGAAAGTCTACTGAAGTGAAAGAAAAACCGCCTGAACTGTGGCAGGAGAATGAACACCTCTGCAACAGGACTGATACATCTGAGTTTCCTCTGTAGACTCCTGTTGACTCCATAGTCTGTGTTGTCCACACCTCTTCATTTGTGATCTCACCCAAACTTTGTGCCTTTTTCTTGTTGTTTGTCATCTTTGGTGCAAACTGAACTGTAAACCATGGATAAATATTAATAGTGCAAGCTGGCTGTAACCGTATTTCTTTTGGTACAAGGATATGAGAGAATTTCTATGATCTTGCAGGTTTTACAGGCTTGTCATGGCCAGAACCTCCAGTTGTTACATACAGTTGTTAAACATGTTGTCCACAGTTAGTACATAAGGTGTGTGCTGCTTCCTGACCCTCTAGATTAGAAATTTATGCAAGTTGGTGGAACCAGTTGTCGAGTGTGGCCTGCCCAGTCTTAGAAGGTTCCAGGTGTTTTGGTCACTGTGGTCTCTCTCATCTGAGCTCAGAGCATTAGTATTGCTGTACAACAGACCCTCAGTAAAAAGTTTCATCCATCTTTAAGCTCATCTCACTGTGTTGGAGTACATGCTGATGACAACCAGTGTATGATGTTGGTACAGACTGACAAAAAACTGACATCAGTGCCTTATAGTTGCAAAGATGACTCATCCTTAGACATTTTTAATGAGGCAAAGCCATTTCTCAATATGCTCCTGCTACAACAGATGAGACGAACATACGACCAATATACCTGAATGAATAACAGTTCTTTATGTAAACTATATTGATTTCAGTGCGGATGAATGGATGGATCAATATCAATACTGATATCAGAAAGTCAAAAGGATTACAACAGGATGTGATAGCAGCTATCGCAGAATGTGGAGTAACCTATGATAATGATTTACTCTAACTTGGTTTTTCAGTATTACAAATATTTAATATTTGACACATCAGTCACTGATTTACAACAGAATTCATTTCCAAGGCTGTACAAGTCATTCAAGTAGTTGCTTGCTGATAAAAAGTAATGCTTCCTTTAAAAAGCTAATGACTCTGAATCACCTTTCCAGAACTATTCAAAACTACACGAAAATCATCAGGACTCCACTGCCCTCTCTGCAGAGCATTTACCACCGCAGGGTGTGTAGGAGAGCTGCCTCCATCCTCAAGGACCCCACCCACCCCTAGCATGGACTGTTCATACCCCTGCCCTCTGGCCAGAGGCTCAGAAGTGTGAAATGCAGGACTTCTAGACTGAAAAACTCTTTCTTTCCCTCTGCCATCAGACTCCTAAACAGCTGACTCAGGATCTACCTCATGTAATTCCATCTGTACTGTTTACATACTCATTTTGCACATGCATAATTGCACACCCACTGCTGAGTATTTACACTCCATGGCTCCCACGTAGCACATATTCTGCATTATATTGTGTTCTTGTTGTATTTTTATTGTGCTTCTTTCACTTGCTGCTTTAAAGTGCCTTAGATTTGTGTTACTGCCTATTTAGATTTGTGTTATTGCTCATCTACTTTATATTTCACTTGTTTTATGTGGCATTCATGTGGACGGCAAAGTAAGAATTTCATTTAGAGGGAAACACGTTTCCTAACTGTGCATATGACAAATAAACACTTTGACCTTTGACCTACACGAGCCAAATGTCCCGCTATGTTTTAGACCCTTCAGTGTCGTAACTCTCTCACATACAGGACTTTGAGTTGTGCTGCCCTGCTGACCAGTCAGATGCAAGCTGAGCTGCGTGCTTAGATCCCATCCTCTCAAGCAACTAGTGCAGTCCAGAATGGCAATATTTGGGCTGTAGATCTTCGTTAGTAATCATCGGCAAATATCTGAATATTTGCTGGTGGGGGGTTAAACATTTAATTCTCCCTTCTCGGCTGAGATTGTGCTGCAGCTAAAAGTACCAATTTGCACATCTAGAAGTGCTTTGAGTTAAAAAAAAAAAAAAAACTATACCAAACAAAAAGTTAATGAAAGTTTTCTGCAGTCCTGATTGTCCACTGAAGTCTGTACTTGTCCTGTTTGGTTGCTGAGCCAAACCAGACAGTGATGGAGGTGCAGAGAACAGACTCGATGATTCTTCTGTAGAACTGTATCAGCAGCTCCTGGGGCAGGTCGACCCTCTTGAGCTTGCGCAGGAAGTACATCCTCTGCTGTGCCTTCTTGATGATGGTCCTGATGTTGGACGTCCACTTCAGGTCCCGGGAGATAGTGGAGCCCAGGAACTTGTAGGACTCTACTGCTGATACAGTGCTGCCAAATATGGTAAGTGGGGGTAAGGTGGGGGGCTCTTCCTGAAGTCCACTGTCATCTCCACTGTTTTGAGCGTGTTCAGCTCCAGGTTGTTGCAGCTACACCACAGGACCAGCTGCTCAACCTCCCATCTGTAGGCTGACTCGTCGCAGTCTCAGATGAGACCAATGACCATTGTATAATCAGCAAACTTTAGGAGCTTGACAGAGGGATCCTTCGAGATGCAGTCGTTAGTGTAAAATGAAAACAGCAGAGGTGAGAGTACACATCCCTGGGGGGCACCTGTGCTTATTATCCGAGTGCTGGATGTTGTTTTCCCCAGCCTCACCTGCTGCTTCCTGTCTGTCAGAAAGCTAGTAATCCAACGACAGGTGAGGGCAGGCACAG